CTGCCCAGCCACCCGAGGCCTGGAGCCTGACTGTCTTCCATCCCTGGCGTCTCTTGGCCACCCCCTCCCAGGAACAGTGCTGTAAAAAGAAAAAAGGGGGATGTTAGAAAGAAAAGAGGAAATAAAGTCTTTGGAAAGCAGAGAGTTTTACAACAGCCGCAGGTTTTATGGAAGCAATTCCGTAATAACCTTCTACCTGCTCAGCTCCTTTCCGCCCTGCTGCCGCCCACCCCGTTTGGCCTCCTGGATGCCCCCTCCCAAAGAACCAGCCACCCCCACCGCCTTCCATGTCCCTGATGGCTGAGAGTTGGTAAGAAGATTCCCGAGGTCTGTTTGGGCTGCTGACCTCTCCATTCCTCCTTTCACCTCTGACATCCTGGTGGGGTGGGGGAGATCTGGCAGATTTCGTTTACTTTACAATTAAAACCCCCGAGTGGAGGGTTTGGAAGCACTGAGATTTGAACCCATGGGTGTAGATTCGATGTGATCCGTTTTAGAGGCTGTTTTGGATAAAGGCTGAAGGTTCTGGGGACCTTGGTTTCTTCCCCCCACTCACTCCTGAGGAAGCATCCCTGCACCTCTTTCTTCACCAGAGTGGGTCTGGACTCTGGTTCTGAGTCAGAAGAAATATCTCCGGGTAGTTGGGGACATAGGCGTGGGGACTTTCTGATTTCGTTGGAGACAGCAGAGCTTTGTATGGCCCCCATAAACACCTGAGGGCTTTCACAGTCCACTCATCTTTGCCCACTGGCCAGATTCACACTTGTGAGGGACACACTTGTGCACAGGTAAGGGTACCTTGGTTCTTATGGCCATCACTGCCATGAAATAAGCGTCCCACAATACACGCCGTCCCTGCAGTTTTGGGTGAGATCCTCAGTAAAGGATGTCATGGTCAGACCAAAAAGTCACAAAATGTTATGCCCTCTCCTGGGCCAATTCGAGGTATTTCCTTCACCTTCCAGAGACATATTTTAGGAGAAAGTTGTAAAAGAATTCAGATTTAAGTCACATGCGCTTGTTTGCAGATACAACATATATTTTGCTTTTTATATCAAGTCAACAGGAGATTTTCAAGCAAAACTTCCTAATCAACTAATGTTTTATAGCCAAAATTCAAGTACACACATACTCAAGTTTTTGTCTTTTCCATAGGTGTGTGGTTGTTATAAAAAACGTATGCACCAGCTTTAGATCTTCTTATATGAACAGAATTGTAAACCCACATTATTCACACGGTTTATACACGCATCCACATATGCACCACTGGATCGTCTATATGAACGCCCAAGCACATCCAGTATTATAGCTGGGCGTATTTATTGATTACATGGTCTATACACAGCATAGAACACACACATTTGCACACCGGGTCCCCATAAATAAATATCAATTTGAAATATACCTACAGGATGCACACATCTATTCAAATACAACATGCATAAATTTCAGCTTAGCTTATCCATTAAAAGCAAACTTTCCCCCTTTCCCCATTTATTGTCTTTCTTTTTGTTTTTCCTTCTCTCTTTCTTTTCCTTCCCTCTGTCTAGATTTTCTCCTTTTCTATTGATAAGATTCTTTCCAAAAACCGCCCCTATAGCACAGGCACTCACCGGCTGGGCTGGTCCTGGCCAGGGTCGGCCTCTGCTCTCCCCACCTCGGGCCTCCTCCTCGCTCTTGGCTGCTCTGGGCCCCAGTGTGGCCAAGGGTCGCAGTTCTCCCCTGCCTTCCCTTCTCCGAGCCACCAGTTCCTGGCCCTAGCTGTGTTCAGACGCGCGGCTCCTGTGCTGGGAATGACTAGAGGCTTCCAGGGAAGGCAAGGTTTTCCTTCTTTCTCTTTAGGATTAGGGGTGGGAAGTGGGGAGCAGTTTGCTCTCTGGACAAAGTGACCCCCTACTCAAGCAACCTCTCCATTCAGCATCTTTAGAAGCTGGACTCCAGGGGCTACGATCCTGTCTGCCTCCCTCCTCCACGGTGGGTACCATTGTTTGGGAGAGGAAAGGAGGTTTTGAGGGGGTCTACAGACCCTCACAACACCCAAACAGGGGGCTCCCTCCCAGCTGACCCTTTAACCCTTTCCCTGAGCTGGAATGGAGCTCCAATTTGGGACAGCAGTATTTTCTAGAAAGCCTGACTAGGGTGGGGGTATTGCCTAATGGTCTGCATCCCCATCTGGAGGGAAGAGACCTGGGTGGGGTGCGGGGCCCAGGGCATGGGTGTTTGCTCACTGTCTTCCCTCCAGAGTTCCTGCTCCTGAGAGGACTGAGACCTCAAAACCTGTCATTTCGAGAAATTGTCCCCATCCTCCAGTTTTATGAGCGAAGCCCAAGCTCTGGTCTCAGAAAAGAGGCCTGGGTCTCCTCCTTTCCCAGCACCTGGGAGCCACCAGGGTTTAGGAGCAACTCACCATACAGACAGCCACTCAAAAACTTAGGGCCCCCCACCCTATCCCCGTCTGCTAGGACTCTCCACACTTGTAGGGCACAAGTCATGAGCCCAAATGTTCTTTCTCTAACTTCTTCCCTAAACTCAGTGTCCCTCTCAACATCTCTCTTATTGTAAAAGAGGCAGCATCCAGGTCTGGGCCGGGAATGGGAACCAGAAGGGCTGCAGTCAGAGCCCAGCGCCTGCACAGCCTGGGTCTTCAGAACAGCCCAGTGCTGTGACTTTTCTATAAATAAAAAAGGCCCTGCCCACAGTCCACATGGCCTTTTGGGCCCTAATTTATATACTACAGAAAGTCATATACTCAGCCCGCCATGCTTCATAACACCATTATTTATGGCCGGAGAGGTTTTTTTTTTTTTTCTTTGAAGAATATATTTATTACAGGTAAAGCCAACAGCAGACTCCATACGTCTGGCAAATCGAGAACAGGTGCTTTACCCTAACTGTGATTCATACGCTCTGCGCTAGCTTTCTCGCTGTTGAGTCCAGGGAGCTCCCTCGACTTTCCCAAGCGTCCAACCGCTACTTAGAAGAATTTGCATCAGATTTTTGTTTCCCCACTTGGGTCCCATGGAAAAAGCAGATCTTCACGCTGTTTGGTTCCGGATCTGCTGGGCTGTCGCCCTCGGAGAGCTGGGGCGGAAAAGGAGGGGGCTGGCTGGGCGCTGGCATTGATCTTTAAAAAATCATTTTGAAATCGCCATAATGTGAAGAAATATGGCGCTTCACCCTCGTATTTCACACGTAATGACACGAGATGGCTTCATTTGGAAAAGAAAAGCGGGTGGGAGTGTGTCTGTATGTGTGCGTGCTGCGGAGGTGATCCCGCAGCCTTCTGCAGGGCAGAGGGGTACATGGCCAAAAAGATAAAACCTCAAATTAGAATGGCCCCGCTTTTGTTAAAAGGACACGGCTGGGGACAGCCTATCGGTTGAGGGCCCAGGGCCCGACAATGCTGAGAAAACCCGCCCCAGCCTGCTCCTAGACCCAACCGGAGGAGAATCGGGTCTGTCCAGGGGCTGTGCCTCCCTGTGTGCCTACACCACAAGACACGACTATACCCAGGGCAGAAGCTGGAGGAGCAGCAGCGGCTGGGAGATGAGCCAGGAAGCCAGCCGGTGGCCCCAGGGGAGTCCCAGCGCAGGGCCGCATAGTAGATACCAATAAAACGGGCTATCTGAAAGCTCCAGCCCGAGTTCACAGGAGGGAAGGCGACGGGTGGTCCGGAGACTGACCCGCAGGCTCTCCGTCTACACTGGTACCCAGTTCAGTATTTGGAAGTCTATCAGGACACCAATGCCCTGGAAAGGAGCCATCCAGAAGAGGCGATGGTCCCCTTCTTCCCTGGGTGTAAGGGGAGATAACCATCGTACCCCTTCCCACTCCTCTGCTCTGCTGACACCTTAGGGAAGTTCCCTTAACCCTTTCTCACATTCAGCTTCCCCAATGGGCAATTTTGAGGGCCTGGGTGGTTATCAGGGAAGGAAAGGCATCATGGCTATGTCTCCACCCCAGGGACCCCATACTTCCATACTTCGCTCACTAGGAGCAGGGCCAGAGAGAGGCCCTAGAAATTTAAAGGAGCTTTGGCTAGTTGTATTAAACTCTTTGAGAGGCTCAACTTTTCAGAGCCTTCCAGAATACCTTTAACCTCATGTAGGTTCTGATTTTAAGAGGGCTAAATTTTAGGACCAGATCATTGGACACTCACCCCCTTTTATTCCCCTGTCTCCTCTCTCAGCTACGGAGGGGTCAGGAGAAGCTCCCAGGCCTGTAAACCTCCCAACATAGTCACAGAGAACCCTCCAAAGCAGATAGCGACCTATAAACCCCCCAACTTCTCTCCCATCCCCTTTACTTCATCTTCAGTGGATTGCCGCTGCACTGCTGTTTAATAAACATCTTGTGTCAAGGGGACAGAGGAGAGGAAACGAGGCCTGCGGGGTGGAATGGCTGCGCGTTTGGGGGGTGGGAACAGGACTACCTCCTCTTTAATTATGCTGTGGGCCTCTGGGTCTGCGCCCCAGTCTGGCTCTCTCCCTCCCTCTGCCCGGCTCTCCCTCTCTTCCTCCCGGACCCGCCTGGGGAGAGGGCTCCACAGCCTGCATCCCTCCCGAGGCAGCCCGCTGCTTTCCCTCCGCCTCTCCTCCGCCCCCGCCGCCCCATGTCGAGAACAACCCCCCTTCCTGCAAAAGGGGGGGGGGTGGCGAGCGGGCGGGCGGCCGGCAGCTCTGGCTGAGGTTACGTGGCCGCCGGAGCCCTGACGTGATAGCACATTGCATCAGCATAAAACAATCCATCCTCGATATGGAATGCGGTGCGGACGGATGACAGCGAGAGCGCAGCCCCCTCGCCGGATTGATTTATGTCGGAGCTGACGCTTTATCAGGCAGTCGGAAAAACTTTGACCAATCATTTTGCAAGGAGCGCTGAGCCGGGCTGCTCCACTGTACTTTGTTGGCTGAGAAGTTGAGCAGGGGGTGGGGGTGGGAGGGTGGGGGGCTGGGGGGGGTCGCGTCCGAAAGCCCTCACACCGGTCTGGGTGCCACCTCTCCCTGCTTGGGCGCCGCCGCGCGAGCGCTTCCCTTCCCCCTGCGAGCGCCCGGATAATGTCTGAGAATGTCCATTTCTGGGACGCTTAGCAGCTATTATGTCGACTCGATCATAAGTCACGAGAGTGAGGACGCGCCTCCGGCCAAGTTTCCTTCCGGCCAGTACGCGAGCCCCCGGCAGCCGGGCCACGCGGAGCACCTGGAGTTCCCCTCGTGCAGCTTCCAGCCCAAAGCGCCGGTGTTCGGCGCCTCCTGGGCGCCGCTGAGCCCGCACGCGTCCGGAAGCCTGCCGTCCGTCTACCACCCCTACCTGCAGCCCCAGGGCGTCCCGCCGGCCGAGAGCAGGTACCTCCGCACCTGGCTGGAGCCCGCGCCGCGCGGCGAAGCTGCTCCGGGGCAGGGCCAGGCGGCGGTGAAGGCGGAGCCGCTGCTGGGCGCGCCTGGGGAGCTACTGAAACAGGGCACGCCCGAGTACAGTTTGGAAACTTCGGCGGGCAGGGAGGCCGTCCTGTCTAATCAAAGACCCGGCTACGGGGACAATAAAATTTGCGAAGGAAGCGAGGACAAAGAGAGGCCGGATCAAAGTAAGTTATAAAAAGTGAGGAAATACCAGGCCGAAGGCCAGGCGAGGGGGAGGGGAGGGGAGAGGCAATAAACTGCGGACAATGTGAAGGGAGACCGCGGCGGTGGCCGGAGAGCGAGCGGGGGAGGAGGGGAGAGGGAGGCAGGAGGCCAGCGAACGGGGTGCCCCCCGAAGGGGAGACTGAGGCCGCTGGAGGAGCGCCGCCCCCACGGCTCCGCGTCCTGGAGGGAACCGGGACGCGGGCACCACCTCGCTGCCCTCTCGGCCTCCCTTCCCCCACTCCCCCGGGGCTCGGGCTCGGAGCCCGGGAAGAGGCTGACGACAGCCGCCGGGAGAGGGGCTGGCGGGGCCGGGGACGGGGCGGCCGCCAGCGAGGCCGAGAGCCCGCGCGGGCGAGGGCGGGAGCGCACGGGGCTGCCCGGGGCCGCCCGGCTGGCAGAGCTCCCCGCGCCACGCGCAGACCGTAAAAGCCGGCCAAGGGGAAGTGGGAGGGGGCTCATTAGGATTTTATTTGCGATGCAACAGCTTGGCGGAGGATTGTTCCTAGCAGATCTCGCGCAGGAGCCGCTCAGGGTCCGCAGCCGGCGCTGGGAGGGGCGGGGAAGCCCAGGACCGGGTGGCTGAGCCCCCTCCCCGGATGCGCCGGCCCCTCCCCGGGAGCCTTCCCTCCGGTCGCCCCCTCCCCTCCTTAGCATCCTCGCCCGGATTGCAGCTTCCTTTTCTGCAGCCCCCGCTGCGCTCCGCGGGGCTCCCTAGTCCCAGCCGGAGCTGTCCTCCTCTCGGGGAGTCCGGGAATCGCTTCTGAACTTCGGGGCAGACAGCCACAGTGGAGAAGGAGAGATCCCGAAGGGACCCTGGGGAGAGGAAGGGTGGAGGGGGTGGGGGAGATGCTTGCGGAAAGGCGGAGAACTTTACCCTCCGATGGTAGTTACTCCCCATATCCCACTCCTTCTGAAGCACCCCGCCAGGAACCCAAGTCTGGCTAATTTCCAGGAGGTGCTGCTGGCAGGATGTGGGGTGGGGTGGGGGAGTCTCGTATTTTTCGTTTGTGAGGTTGAGAAAGGCAAATTAGTTGGGGGCTCTCAGCTCCAAACATGACCCCCAGGCTGGCCAGAACAAGCCTCAACCCTTACTCTTTTGGGGGAGCGGGGGTCAGATTTTTTTTTTCCATCTCTCCTTGCCCTGCCAGATTTCCCATCAACATAGTGGCCCACAGGCCCTTGGGGAGTCCTCATCTGCTGGAGGATAGAGAACTGCCCCCACTACCCTGAAACCCCTGCAGGGTGCTACTTCTCCTGCCTGCCGGAGTTCAGAACCGGAATAACGTTTGGGCAACACGGGCTCTTCCCAAAACCTCCCCGCTCACACCCAAACAGACCCCCCACCCCAAACCCCCAAACTCTGCCTGGAAAGCCCATTACTGAAAGGGAGCGGTTTGGCTAGGATCAATTATTAACAGTTTTTTTCCTCTTTCATATTTAATGCGGCTGCGGGTCCCATCCCAGGCAATCACATTAAGGAAATAGCACTGCAAATTGGTAAGACACGGTACTTAGTGTAGGAGGAACCGGATTATTTTTTAAAAATATATTCAGTGCTTTTCATTTGGGGAGAAGAAACTAGCAAAGGGTGGCTGTTATTTTTAATTGGCTCTGCTTTATTTGGCAACTTTTCTGAGTTCGGGAGGGTAGGGAGAGAGCCGGTAAGAAGGAGACAAGCCTGTATATATTTTTGTTTTCTCTTCCCCCCCCACCCCTTCCACTCAATTACCCCTTTCTCTGCTCCTCCTCACTGCATGGAGCTGGTTGGAGTTAGGTGTGCTGTGAAGGGTTGTTACCCCCCATCATCCACGGTTCCCCACCCTGGGACTGGAGCAATCTTGCTTCCCAAATTCCCTGAACTTGCTTTAACCAAACTGCGAGCTGAACAGGAGCGGAAAAGGAGAGACTATTGCAACCATAAGTTATCTGTGAGCCCCTGGCGCTCCCTTGTCCACAGGCTGGAGTTGATAAATGGTTGCAATTGGGTTGCATGTGAATTGGAGTGTGCTGGGTGTTTGCGTCTCTAAGTGCAGACCCATGTTTGCGGGGTGTGTTGGGGGGGAAGAGGATAAGATATCTACAGACACACATGCCTGCTGCCATGTGGCCAAGAGATCCAAGCTTGTGATTAAGGCAGGGTGTCCTCGGACTGAACTGGAGAGCCAGGAGTTGTCTCGGCTGTGGCTGAACAGAAGCCGTGGTGCTCCCTCAGCCCAGCCCTATGCTAATCGCCCCAGACCCAAGGCGAGGACCCTTCAGGTCAACCACCCATGGTTAGTCTGGCGATTGCTGGGGAGGGGTGGGGGTGGGGTGAGCTTTAGCCATGGGGGGCTTTGACCTGAGTCCTGATCAGTGGGGACCCAAGTGGAGAAAGAGATTGAGAGACGACCTGAGGCAGGCGCAGGTTTGGAAATGCTGAGAAGCCTGGTACATGTTTGGCTCCACTCTGTCCCAGTAACTCTCACCTGAAAGTGTCACTAGCAGCTCCTGGCCCATCACTGGGACCCTTTCTGGGAACTCGAAGGCCCAGGTCTCCTCTCTACAACGCAAGATGGGGAGTGGAAGCCAGGGGGACGTCCTCTTGGAAGGTGAACATGGGGGCCTTTCACCCCCCCCTTCCTTTCTTTGATTCTATCGCTGCTTCTCTTTCAGCCAACCCCTCCGCCAACTGGCTGCACGCTCGCTCTTCCCGGAAAAAGCGCTGTCCCTACACGAAATACCAGACGTTGGAGCTAGAGAAGGAGTTTCTGTTCAATATGTACCTCACCAGGGACCGTAGGCACGAAGTGGCCAGACTCCTCAATCTGAGTGAGAGACAAGTCAAAATCTGGTTTCAGAACCGGCGGATGAAAATGAAGAAAATGAATAAGGAACAGGGCAAAGAGTGAAGATTCCCCCCGCCCCAACCCTCCCCGGCCCTCTCCGCCCCTTCCCCATCTCACGCGTATTTATAAGTGATGGCTGCCTGGCCAGTGCTGTCTGGGATGTATTCAAGTGAATGGGGAAGGGAGTCTTTCTCTTCCAAGTCCTTTTCTGCATCTAGAGCATCTCCTTCCCTTTGCCCTTACCTGTCCTTCTCTTCTCCCTGAGCCTCAGAAGGAAGTTTTGTTGATTTAGAAGGTAGACATGTAGTTGGCTTCTAACAAGGTGATTGGGCCACAAGGAAAGAGAGACCCCAGTTGAGCCCCTAGCAATCCCTTAATTTTTCTGGGAAGCCCCAGCCCCTCACTTCCAGCCTACCTATCTCCACCCCTTACCCGCTCCCACCCCAAAGTCACCCAGGGACACTCCAACTGCATACAGCCCAACAGAAGCCCACATACATAAATCCTGGAGCCCAGAGTAATAACAGGCAAAGCTCACAGCCAACACTCAAATGAAGTGATACCCCAAATACAGACCATCGCACCCTAAATCTGGCAGAACAGCCCTCAGACCACCAGCAAGCCCAGATTTTACCCTTGACACAAATATACATCAAGAAGATGTCTAGAGACACATTCCTGAATGAGGCTCTGTAGCCCAAAGGGTTCAGCATCACAAAATCATCTCTATGGAGTCCCAACTATACCCCCTCTGGACCCAAGGCAAATGGGGGTAAACTCAGCCCCCAAGCTGGTGGGCTAGAAGGGGCAAGGAAAGGAGCTGTGGTCTTAGGCAGGTATCCTAGGACTTAGAAAGGTGTTACACACACACATGCACACGCACACACACACACATTCTGCTGCAGGAAATGTTTAATTCTGCATGTTGTTTTCCTCTCCTTCCAACAAAAGGAGGTCAAATCGTGTGTCGTAAGCCTTGACAATGTCGTCTGTTCATCTGTGCTTGACAGAGACTGTAACTTCTCTTGCTCTCCACCAGCCCTGCATCCTTCCACATCCTCCCCAGCTCTGAAATCAACTCTGTTCGGCTAAATCCACCTTGCACCTGCAAGTCAAGCAGCCCCTTGTAGAACCACCCCCCCCCCATCCACCTTCTATCCCCTGCGAGCTCAACCCCCTAGAGGCAGGAAAACCAGGTCAGGAGAGTCCTACAGAGAATTTATTGTGAATCGATTCCCGAGCTCCCTTCCCGGATAACTTGTGGAGGACAGGGAGGAGCAAAGGCTCCAGCGCCAGGAGACTGGCGCGTTCCTCCCCATCCTTCCCACGTTTCAACCCAAGCAGAGGAGCCCCAGGCTTGGCGGCTGCCCGCCCCAGCACAGAAGGAGACCTGCCCCAGGCGCTGGGCTTTGCCTTCTGTGACTCTGGCCTGGATGGCGGTCTGCTCGGCTGCTGCGAGCTCTTCTGGGGAACGGTCCCGCGTGCAAAGGAAAGAGACGAAATTGCACCTAAGCATCAGGGGCCGAAGCTTACTCTCTGCTTCCCTCCTTCCCTCTGCTTCCTCATCTGTCCAGTCTCCTTCAATTCCATGAACTCTTCTTGATCCTGCTTCTCCCGACCCTGCAAGGGGACATTTCCAGTAGAACTTTTTTGCTTTGTCGGTGGCTGTTGTGAAATTGTGCTGTGTTTTGTGATTTCTTTGGGGGTGATCGTCTCGTCTGTTTTCCGTTGTCGCTTATATGGGAGGGTTGAGGGTGGGAATGGGGAGGGCAAGGGGCCTAGAGCTCTGATTGTTTTGGAAGAAAAAAAAACAAGAAAAAGAACAAAAAAATATATATCACTCTAGAAAATAAATCTCTCCTTGTGTCTCATTCTGTGTTGGCTCTCCTCACCTGGCCAGAGGTAGAGGTCCTAGTTCCAAGAGGGCAGCTTGGAAAAAACAGAGAGTCGGTGCCCAAGAGGTGTCTCCTTAGGCCTTGCAGAGCAAGTTTCCTGGCGGAGCTGAGAACTGGTCTGGACCCAGGGTCCCAAGACCTCTGCTCAAAGTGAGCAAGAGCCTTCCAACAGGAGAGCTGGGAGACCGGAGGGGGATGAGAGGGAAGATGAGTGATTTGGAGAGGGGTCTGGGTCTGCAGGGAGCCTTGAGATAATCCTCCAAAGTGGCACTGGAGACCTCCCTACCAACTCCAGAGCCAGGGGGAAGGCAAGGCCTGCCTTGTTACTCCTGGAAGCGGCTCCTCTCTCAGCTGGCCAAGAACATCACCTTGGTTTGGCCACTTAAAAATAGCATGCAAGGGGAAAGGCACTAACTTCCTTCAGTCATTCCCTGCAGCCGGGCTGCCAGGCGTAGAGAGAGGCCTTAGGAAGGCCATGCTGTCCTTCCTTCCACTCAAAAATGACCGAACCTCTAAGGGTTCTGACCCCCATCTGGAATCTGAGGATCGGATTTGAGCCACAGGGTAGCCGCCTTGGTGTAAGGCGGGTTGTTTGGTAAAGGGAGAGGCCTGGGCAGGCAGTTCCCATAGATAGGCAGGGAGAGGAGATTGGGAGTGGAACAGAAGTGTCTCACCAGGGAGAAAAAAATCGCTCCCCAGTCGGACCCCAAAATTAAATTCGGTTTCCAGAGGCACCTTTCTGTCCCTATCAGACCGTGGTGTCCCCGCCAGCGCCTCTTAGGAAGACCGCTGCTCCCCGCGGCCTTGTGGGTCCCAGCCGGGCGCTGGGATTGGGCTTCTGCCTGGCTCGGCCGCTCGCCGGAGCCTCCCGCCAGGCCCACCCCAGCCGCGCGGCAGCCCCGCCGAGCCCGCCAGGGGTGGGGGGAGAGGTGGGGACAAAGCGTGTCCCGAGTGAGAGGCGCCTGGAAGTGAAAAGGCCAGGCCGACCCCTCTCCAGCGAAGGAAAGCTAGAATCGGACAGATAGCCAAAGGCAGGAGCAGGCGACGCTCCTGGGTACGACCCTGGGTACGGTCCCCGGGACCGCCTCCTCCAGAAAGGGTTCCATTCGGGTCATAAAATGAATCTGGCTTTAGAGCTTGTGTAGACTAGGCTCCCTCCCCATCCTGGGCTCCCGGGAGCCCGCCGGCGCGGAGGGTGAGCCGAGCAGGCAAGCTTCCGCGGAGAGGAGCGGCCAAGGCGCGGCTGGAACCGGACGCAGAGCGGCGGGGCAGGGGGGAGAGGCCTCCCGGGGAAGCCTCCGGCGGCGGCGTCTGGGTCCCGAGCCCGGAGTAGCTTCTTTAAAGACAAACAAAGGCGAAGATGCGGAGGCTGGGAAGCCGGAGATGGGGAAATCTGCTGCCATAAAAGAGAGCGAGAGATTCAGAGAGGGAGACCGCGAGAGTGCGAGACGGAGAAGCCGGGAGAGGAATTCAGTGCCGTGCGCGCAGCTATAAAAGAATATGACCGCTATAAAACTTTATAGCGTATAAATTTCTGAAGGTTAGGAAACTAAACAGCAGCAAAGCAAACAGTGAGGGGAAACTTTCCGGAGCTGAGCGAGCCGCAGTTGGGCCTGGGCTCTGGGGCTGGCGGGCGAATGGGTGGGCCGGGCTCCTGGGTGGGGATGGAGGGGGTCCCCACACTCACCCGCCCCGGGGTCCGCGGGGCTTGGGGTTTCCGAGGACGGCGGGGGCGGGGGCGGGGACCCAGGGGGCAAAGAGAGGAGAAGAGGGACGGGGAGGGAAGAACACTTTGTTGTCACACAAGCTTCAGAGAACGCAGTTCGGACTCTTGTCTTTGTTCCTCACACCCACTCCAGAATCATAAACGAGAAGCCCCCTGCGCACACGCACGCACACACACACACACACACACACACACACGGGTGCGGCGAGGCCAGACGTCTGGGCGCGGGCAGCCTCTTGATCCTTTTACAGCCCCCTCCCACCCTCCCAGGCCTCCTCTGCCCCCCACAAAAAGCCCAATTGTTTCTTCTCAGAATTTGAAACAATCGTGTTGGGTTTGAAAAGTGCTCGGCTCCCCCCTTTTACGGGCCATAAACGGCGCACTGCCTGGCGGGGTCCGCCAGAAATTAGGGGGTTGGGGTGGGGGTGGAGGAGAGGGACTGTCGGGGGTCAGTACCAGAGGAAAAAAAATCTTAGGGTTTCTTTTTTCGCTTTCCTACCCCCTCGCCTTTTTTTTTTTTAAAGCTTATCTGCACAATTTCATGAGCCATTTCCTGATTTCCGATGGCTTTTCTCTCGCCTGCTCTCGTTCCCCTCCCCCTTTTCTGCTAATAATGAAAGTTTCTCCCGCTTGTCGCCTCGGTGGCTGGCTCTTCGGAGAAACCCGCCGAGCCTGTGGCGGCGGCGGCGGCGGCGGCGGCGCCTGTTCTCAGGATGACCGCTAGATGGAACCCTTGCTCCACGCGAAAATCCCCGGTGCGGCGGCTGCGGACTCGCGGCTGCACATCGCACCTTGGCCGGCCCTGAATCTGTGAACTGAGCGCTACCAAAAGTCATGAATAATTTGCGCGTAATAAAAATATAGGGTTCATTATGGCCGTTTCCCCCATTTTATAGATTTCAGATACAGCCTATTGTTTCCCCCCTCCCCTTCAAATGGTCAATTTTCTGAATTTCCCCCAGGAGGAGGTCTCCGTGCTTCTCACCCAGTTTCTGTGGTCGGTAGGGCAACAAATGCATGAAAACGGGGAGGAATAATAATAATAGGAATAGGGAAATGGGCAAAATAAAAGAGGAGAATTGGTTCGGAAAAATGAGATTTTCCGGGAGGGGGTCTGGAGGACTGTCTGCGGATACGGGTGAGCAGGTCAGGTGAAAGGGGCGAGCGGGCAGAAGAAGGTCGGATGGAGAGCAAGCTGCCCCGAAACGGGATCAGCAGCCGAGGGAACGGGGTGAGCCAGCCCGGGGTGTAGGGGTACAACCTGGGGGGGGTGGCATGGATCCCCGGCTTTGGTGCGGATTCGGAGGTGCCCAAAGCCGGCGGGGCGGATCAGCACGGACAGAGGCTTCACAGCCTTTGTACGCGGCCGGGGCTGGGCGCGCGCCGGGTGACCCAGGCGCGGGGCAGGGACTACCCAGAACGGCAGGCGTGGGGAGGTCTCGTACGTTTTCTCGGTTGTTCTGCGCGCCCCAAGTTGGGCAGCCAAAAAAGTGTGCGTTTTCCGGATGGATGTGGGGGTAGGCACGGCGGCAGGAAGCAGGGGCTCGGTTCTCCCGGCGTTCCGTGGTTCCCAGGTGAAAGCTCGGGCTCAGTGCGCGGCGGCCCCGGCAAACCTAGGGGACAAGGGTCCTTTCGCAATTTAGCACCTGGAGGCCTGGGCTCGGCCAATTTTCCTTCTGAGACCCGCGCGCTGTGTGCCCATAACTCTTTTAATTCCAAATCTTCCATTTCCTCCCGGCCCAGCCTGATCTGTGCCCCCCATCCGAACAAACCTGCCTGCGAAACACACACACCGCCCCCCTCCTTAAAATTAGCCCCGCCGCGGTCTCTCTTCTCTTCCCCCAGGACCTGGTGCAAAGAGGCAAGCGGAGTTTCTCAAGTTGAGTTTCTCTAATAAATCTGCGCTCCGTTGGGTGTTTATAAATTATCTCCTCGCTCTTTCTTGTTTTTTCTTATAATAGAAACATTTTCCTTCCATCAGGAATTTCTGGCACGGTGTAGGGATGATTTAGAACAAGCCATTGAATTTCTACCTCACCGGTGAGTCCTCAAATCATGACCATAAAATCCCCCGCACTTGATAAAAATGTTCTCTTCGGCAACAACTTAACTGTGCCTTCCGCTGCCTCACCGCCCCCTCAGCCTCGCACTGAAAATCCAAGACCCTGGTTCTCTTCCCTCCTCTTCTCCATTCTCTTCCTCCCTTTCAGCCTCTCTCCCATTCTCCCGATTCACTTTTGAAGGATCCGGTGGCTCTACTGGGAACTTCCTCTTGGAAAAAGCTGATGGTTTCATTTTTACAAAGGTTGGGGTAAATGGGATCCCCCCTCCCACCAAAGCACCCTTCCAAAAGCAAACCACCCTCTGGTGAATAAACAATGGCTTGGATGTGTTTGTGAAGCCTCTACCTTTGTTACTAGAATTTTTCCTTCTTTCTCCCTCTCTCTCCCTCCCTTCTTTCTTTCCTTTCCTTGGCCAGTGAGCTGATTCAGGAGGCCATTGGTTGGGACCCTAGGACTGGGGCCTTGGAAAACCTGGCCACCACCCTCAGTAGGCCAGGAAGGCTGCGGAAGGCAAAGGCAGGAGAGTGTGGTACCCACACAGCTCAGCCCTGTAGGCTGTGCCTCAGCAGGCCCCAGGACCTCAGGTCTGGAGAGAGTTGGGTTTGACTATAGGCTCCCCAAGGAGAGGGGAGAGATAATGGGGGGACTCTGTTGGCTTGCTCCATCCAAATCCCCTCTACCCCAAGGTCAGTTTAGGTAGTGATGGTGGCTCAAGGGACTCGGAAAGCTAAAAGGTGGCCCCCCACCCATGTATACACTCTGCAGCCTCTACCTAGAGCCAAGGAGAGGATAGGACGGCAAGCCTCAAGACCAAGCACCTGGGCCTCAGTGTCCAACAGCGGCCTCCCTGGCCCTTCACTCCTTTTGATGTGCTGTCACCCTAGGGTGCCACAGAAGGTGTGGAGGGCTGGCCTGGAAGGTGGGGAACCAGCTGAGCTTGGCTAGCAAGTCTCAAGGCCTGGGTGCAGGAGTGGGACTGTCCAGCTGGGTGTCATCCTGCCGGTGGCACCAGGCCTCACTCCCATCACACAAAGTTGGTTCCCCCAAAGCGCAGACTAGAGACCCTCCTCCCCATCCCAGCACCTCTCTCCAGGCCAAGGAGGTCGTGCAAAACTGCTGATTGGGTGCTTGCTGGGCGAACTTTGCTCCTTGCTTCTACCACTGCCCATTAACCGGAAAGTTTCTTTCCTCCCCTCCTTCTGCGTCCTCATGGCCTGCCAGGACCATTCTCCAAAGAAAATCCTTGCTTGTTTGTTTAATGAGGGAAAGTGGGTGAGTGGCCTGGGTGGGGCAGAGAGGAGGTGGTTTGGGGGCTCCCGAGTAGGGGGTAGGGGCAGGTGCTGGCCACAGCTGAAGGAGGTAAAAATCTCAGGAAAGTCACCGTTTGCGCCGAAAAAACCCATCATCGTTCTCATTTCGGCTTGGTCACCCCCACCGCGCCGCAGTCGGGCGGCGGGGCGGTCGAAGCTGCAATTTTATAGCTGTAGAGGAAAGAACTCGTAAAATGCTAACAGCTTTTATGCGCTGCGGCATAAACAACAACAGACTCCGGCTTTATTGCGTTTTATAGTTTGTTAAAGAGTTTACGGCCGTTTTTGGGGGGCCGGTTACCCAGCCAATTCCCTCCACACGATAGTTAAACCTTTATCAATAATAAGGAAATTGATCATTAAAGCCTTAAATATGACTACCTCGTTTGTTTGAAAATATGTTTAGGAGAGGAAGCTGTATGATTTGATAACTTGTATTAAAATACCAATTACATTTATAGGACCTTTTAAAACTCGGCGCAATTAAACCGTGTTCTTTTACATTTTTCCGAAGCGACCCTGACATTTAAAAAGACTCCAACTGCCTCGTTAAAATCGCGAAATTAACAGCATGCCTACGCCTGGCGCGTTGTGTATATGTGTGTGCGTGTTTTTTTCAGTGACGCCCCCACATCAGTCTTTGGGGGTGGTCTGCGAAGGTATTTGATTTGTTGTGAGGCGAGAGATATCTCATTAATGTAGGTAGTTAAACAGATTTAATCCGTATTCATTCTCTCTCTCTCACCCCCACTCCCTCTCCCCCTCTCTCCCCCTCTCCTCCTCGCTCTCCCTGGGTGTTTTTTTTTTTTTTTTTCCCCCCTTTTTTTTTTTTTTTTTCGCTCTCTCCTCACTCCCTGGCGCTCTCTCGCTCTAGCTCTCTCTCTCGCTCGCTCTCGCTCTCTCTCGCTCGCACCCTCGCTCTGCGTTCTGTCCGGGAGGAGTACGGAGAAGCCAATAGGATGCGGGGTTTCTAATGGATGCAAATGATCATGAAAAGACAGTGCAAAATATGAAACAACTCATTTGCAGGGAAGTAAATCACCGAAAACTGTTTATGAACTGGCATCCCTTCTTCGAAATGTAAAGCGAGGACCTCTTTAAGTGGCGGTATATTTTTGTTTGGGGGGTGGGGGGTGGGGGGAGGGCGAGCGAGCCGCGGCTGCCATGCAAGCTTAGACTTTTGGAGGCTTCGCTGTCCTTTTCTATTCCTGGAAATCACAAAAAGTGTGGCGGCTTTGAGATCTTCTTCGCCTTTTCTTTCTTTTCTTTTTTTCCCCCCTCCTCCCTTTCCCTCTCCTTTCCTGGCGAGGGTGACTAGGAACCGGCGAATCCGCGTTTTTTTCTCTCTCTCTCCCTCCCTTTCCCCCTCCCCACCCCCTCCCCAACAGCCCCCAACTACAGCCGCCGCCGCCGCCGCCGCCTCAAAATTCAATAAAATGAGCTCTTATTTCGTCAACTCACTGTTCTCCAAATACAAAACCGGGGAGTCCCTGCGCCCCAATTATTATGACTGCGGCTTCGCCCAGGACCTGGGCGGCCGACCCACCGTGGTGTACGGTCCCAGCAGCGGCGGCAGCTTCCAGCACCCGTCGCAAATCCAGGAGTTCTACCACGGGCCGTCGTCGCTGTCCACCGCTCCCTACCAGCAGAACCCGTGCGCCGTGGCGTGCCACGGGGACCCGGGCAACTTCTACGGCTACGACCCGCTGCAGCGGCAGAGCCTGTTCGGGGCGCAGGATCCAGACCTGGTGCAGTACGCCGACTGCAAGCTCGCCGCAGCCAGCGGCCTGGGCGAGGAGGCCGAGGGTTCAGAGCAGAGCCCGTCGCCCACGCAGCTCTTCCCCTGGATGCGCCCGCAAGGTGAGCTCGCGTCGGGGCCGGCGGGAAGGGAGAGCGGAGGGCCCGAGGCAGGGCAGGGGGCCGGGCAGGCCGGGAGCATTTCCTCCAGCTCCTGGAAGACGTGCCTGCTCTGTTCCGATTGCCTCCCACTTCTTTCCTCCTTCCTCCCTCCATCCCTTCCTCCTCCCTTCCTTCCTTCCTCCTTTTCTTCCTCTTTGCCTTCCTTCTTTCCTTCCTTTCTCCCTGCCTTCCTTCCTTCCCTCCCTCCTTCCTTCTTCCCTCCCTCCCTCCCTTCCTTCCTTTCTTTTTTTGTTTTCCTTGAAGGGGGGGTCGCTAAGCGACGTTTCCTGAATCCATAAACCCCTCACCCTGCCTTACTTTTCTTCTTCTCATCCTTCCCCCCCCTTTTACTGCTTTATGGGGGTAGTGGAGAGAGGGCGGCAGGAGTGGGGGCGCTCAACTTTTGCACTTCTCAATTGCTTTATAGTTTAATTACCCTGAAGAAACTTTTCTTCTGGGGCAGAGGCTCTGGGGGCTTTTCAAGGTGGGTCCACTCATCCCAGTCCCGGCTTTTTAAATTCTTATTTTCCCCCTCCCCCTCCTTCACACCCTTCCTTATAAAGTTTATGGCACTTTTAATAGATTTGAACTACCGCCCCCCCAACTCTCTGGTGCTGGTTACCAGAGGAGGGGGCTCCCCCTTTCTGGTCCCCTTAGAGTCAGTGATGTCTGATCCCTCTCACCACCCCCCCCACCCCATCACCCCCCTCCCCCCACTGCTGACCGCGGCCTCCCAGCGCCCCCGCCCCTGCACGGGATAGAAGGTCCCCTTCCCTTATTATACTGGTCTTCCAGGCTGGTTCACGAATCTTCCAACCTTCTCCGTCTCTACCCCCCCCCCCCCCCCCCCCCCCCCCCCCCCCCCCCGTCTCGCCTTTTCCCCCACTCCCAGCAGCCGCCGGACGCAGGCGAGGCCGACAGACCTACAGCCGCTACCAGACCCTGGAGCTGGAGAAGGAGTTCCTATTTAATCCCTATCTGACTCGCAAGCGGCGGATCGAGGTATCGCATGCGCTGGGACTGACAGAGAGACAGGTCAAAATCTGGTTCCAGAACCGGAGGATGAAGTGGAAAAAAGAGAACAACAAAGACAAGTTCCCCAGCAGCAAATGCGAGCAGGAGGAGCTGGAGAAACAGAAGCTGGAGCGGGCCCCGGAGGTGGCGGACGAGGGCGACGCGCAGAAGGGAGATAAGAAGTAGGCTCCATCTGGGACTGCCAGGGCCGCGGCCGCCCTGCGTCCGTGGGTACCCCGACCACGCCACGGCCGTCGCCCGCCCCCGCCGAGAGAGCTCTGGCCCCGCGAGCGGGGCCCGGAGCCCGGCCTCCCGCCGCAGCGTCCCCCGCCGCGCCAGTCCCCGCTAGTGGTAGTATCTCGTAATAGCTTCTGTGTGTGAGCTACCGTGGATCTCCTTCCCTTCTCTTGGGGGCCGGGGGGGAAAGAAAAGGATTTTAATCAAGGACTCCCTCGCCCTGCGAGGGTGAGCGGCTGCGGCCTGGCTGAGCCCCCCACGCCCCCGCCCCGTGTAAAAAGCCTCCTTGTGCAATGGTCTTTTTTCCTTTGAACGTGCTTCTTTGTAATGACCGAGGTACCGATTTCTGCTAAGTTCTCCCAACAACATGAAACTGCCTATTCACGCCGTAATTCTTTCTGTCTCCCTCTCCTCTCTTCTCTCTCTCTCTCTCTCTCTCCTCTCTCTCTCTCTCTCTCTGTCCTCATTTCCCCCTCCCAACCCTTCTCTCCCCGCTGCCCTCCCTAGCTCGCTGGCTTTCTCTCTTGCTTCTCTCTTTTCCTCCCACCCCCCCCCCGCCTTTGGTTTGGCAATTTCGTCTTAAGTGTTTCTCAAAAGAGGTTACTTTAGTTAGCATGCGCGCTGTGGGCAATTGTTAAAAGTGTTCTTAGGTTTACTGTGAAGAGAATGTATCCTGTATCCGTGAATTGCTTTATTGGGGGGTGGGAGGGCTAATTATATATTTTGTTGTTCCTCTATACTTTGTTCTGTTGTCTGCGCCTGAAAAGGGCGGAAGAGTTACAATAAAGTTTACAAGCGAGAACCCGAGACTGGCCGGGCCCGCGCTCCTCATTTGCTCCCGGCGCCTTGCAGAGCTGGGGGGAGCCGGTCACCGGGCTCCTGCACCCGCCAGGCCAGGCAGCCCAGAGGAGGGGGCGGGGGCTGGAGGCAGGTGGTGCGAGTCCCTTGGCCCAGGGGCGCAGGGGGTGAGGGAGGCGGCTGCGCCTGATTGGAGGAGAGAGAACGGGGGAGGGGAGCCCAGAGAAACCCCCTCCCTTCGCGTTCCGAGGCTGCGGGCGCGAGACCTGGGCGCCGAGGCCACGCCGGAGAGATGCGCCCGGGCTGGCGGCTGTATCCCCCCTCCACCTCCCCCTTTGTTTCTGTGGGCCCTTTCCTGTCTGTGCCTATGTGGGGGTGAGTGGATACAAGTGGAGTGCAGGGCCGCTGAACAAGCTTATACATTTATTTTTCCCGGATTGGGTGGGTGGGGGGAGCAAGAGGAGAGGAGAGATGCTCTCCCCCGCCTCTCCTTCTCTACGACTTGGCCACCTTCGCCCAGCTCCGAGGTCGTGGCTCGCCGCCTTCCTTCCTTCGCTGCCCCTGCTTCTCCGGCAGCCACGCTCTACTTGAGGCATCCGCCTCCCGGAACCAGGAGAGCAGTATACCCAGGCCGCCTTCCTCCCTTCCTTTCTCTTCCCACCCACCTCACCCCACCCCCTTCCTTTTTTACTTTCAACCCCCCCCCTTTTTTTAAGCCACCAGAAACCGCATCATCCAGAGCCCGTGGGCTGGATCCCGCGCCTGCAGGAGCACCCACGAAGCCTCACTCCATTCCTGCCTGTATGTCTGGGGGCACCGAGAGCGAGCAAGGAAGCCGGGCTCACCTCCGCTCCTCACCTCGGGAGGACTGGACCAAGTTCCCCCAAAGGCCTGGCCAGGCCGAACTGGCCCAGATTAATAAAGACGTGACCTGCCTCCCCCACCCACCCAGTTGCGGGCAATCCCTGCATTTGTTTCTCGTTGGGTAACCGGGAGGGGGGCGGGGGGGGTGACAACACGGATCGCTTGGAGGTTATTTATTTTCCCTGCCACTCAATCCCTTCCTCCCCAAATCTCGCCTGCAAGCTGCCTCCAGCCCAAGGGGGTCGACAGCGGCCCTTGAGCCCCCAGCCCCAATCCACAGGGCTTGGCTTTCCCATTCATTATTGATCATATTTTATAAATCTAACGCCACACAATTTTTTCCACATTACCGGGAGCCGTGGGGAGGCTGCCCGGCCATTGGCGGAGCGGACGTCACGTGGGTGGGGTCACGTGGTCCGGAGAGGAAAAAGGGGGTCCTTTTTGGTGTAAATCTGGACTCTAATTCTGTAATATATCAAGGAATCTCGTAAAACCGACACTAAAACGTCCCTGCCTACAAATCATCCGGCCAAATTATGAGTTCATTGTATTATGCGAATGCTTTATTTTCTAAATATCCAGCCGCAAGTTCGGTTTTCGCTACCGGAGCCTTCCCTGAACAAACTTCTTGCGCGTTTGCTTCCAACCCCCAGCGCCCGGGCTATGGAGCGGGTTCGGGCGCTTCCTTCGCCGCCTCGATGCAGGGCTTGTACCCCGGCGGGGGGGGCATGGCGGGCCAGAGTGCAGCCGGCGTCTACGCGGCCGGCTACGGGCTCGAGCCGAGTTCCTTCAACATGCACTGCGCGCCCTTTGAGCAGAACCTCTCCGGGGTGTGTCCCGGCGACTCCGCCAAGGCGGCGGGCGCCAAGGAGCAGAGGGACTCGGACTTGGCGGCCGAGAGTAACTTCCGGATCTACCCCTGGATGCGAAGCTCAGGTAACGCCGCGCACCGAGCCATCCCGAGCCGCAGTGGCCCGAGCACATTCCCCGGAAGGCGCCCCCTTCCCGGCCAAGTGCTCCTTTCCGCGTCCAGAGCGCTCCCGGTGGGAGGTCGGCCCTGGGGACGCGGCAGCCCCTCCGCCGCAGCCCGGCGCGCCGCCCCCACCCCCATTTTTTTGCTCGGTGCTCTCAGGCTCCTTCTGCTCCCTCGGCGGATCTCTCTCCGCCGACGCCGCGGCGCTCCGAGCCCCCCGCCTGCCCCCCACCTTTCCTCCTGGCCTTTTAGCTTTAAATATTTATCAGCCGCGCCGGCACGGGCTGGAGACGAGGCCGTTTGTCTTGTGGAGGAAGGCTGGGGTTTGCAGAGAATAGCCATTAGGGTCTCCCCCCTCCCTTCTCCCTTCCCCCGCCGGGGATCTCAGCTCTGGGTGTGTCCCCCAGCCCCAGCTTGAAGGTCTGGGGGAGGGGGCCCGCAGCGCCAAGCAATTCTCCCCTCCCCCTTCTTCCCAGCCAACCCCGCTCCCCCATTATTCCCTTCTGGACAATTAGAGGTGGGCTCTAGAGGCTTGGCGGAAGGAGGGGGTATGAGAAGAGATGAAGATCCAGCCAGGGACACAGAGCCAGAGAGGCAGGTGGAGAGAGGGGGACTGAGGCCAAGAGAGATGAGGCTCCTGACCCCCCAGTGAACTTGGGAAGGGGGAAGCAGAACTAGAGAAGGGGTCAGAAGCCCCACAGGAGTACAGCTGGCTTCCTCAGGTGCCCTGCCTAGGGCTCCTAAGTGCCCCCTGGAGAACTGGCCAGCAAGTTTGCAGGTATCATTCCAGAAGGGTGACTGTCCTCTTAGGGGAGAGACTAGGACTCCATGGGAGCCGCATCACGAGTTAGAGAGTGCAGGCCACTGAGCCAGCTGCTTCAGAAGCCCCAAGAGACCCAGGCTCTGTGGGGTTTTCTCACTAGTTTAAACCAGACATCTTTCTTCTTGCTGCCCTGGGCTCAGGGACCAACTCCAAGGTTCAAAAAGCCCAAGACTGTGGTCCGAGGCTCCCCAGTCCAGTCAGAAGGAGCCCAGCTCTTACACCATCAGTATTGGTGGTCACGGTCCCCATTACCTGCTCCATAATTCAATTGCCTTTCCAGTTGATTTATCAAAGCCCCAATTTTTCTGCTCGTAAACATTTCAGCTTGGCTTTTATCTGACTTGAAATTAGGGCCCCTAGGCTCTCCTCCCATGTCTACTTCCCAGGAGGGCTGGCACCAGCTCCTCCCCCAGTACAGCCTCCCCAGAGGCTCCTCAGGGTTTTGGCCTAACCTGGAAAGCTCACCTCTGCCCTTCAGCCCCCGCTTCCCAGATACTTCATGTTCCACCCCAAACCAGGCTGCTGTCTCTCCTGCGCCTTCCTGGAGGCCCAGAGATTGATTTGGAAAACTGGGTTGTCTGGGCAGGTGGGCAGGCCGGACAGCCTGTCCCTGTCTGAACCTGAGCCACTCACTGGAAAGAGTCATCATAGTGCTCCTGCTCTCTGGCTGATTCCAAGCTCCAAGGAAATCTGCAGATTCTCACTTCCTCCTCATTCCACAGCAGGCTGTGTGTGTGTGTGTGTGTGTGTGTGTGTGTGAGAGAGAGAGAGAGAGAGAGAGAGAGAACGAGAGATTGGGTCTGTGAGCCTCTTTGTTTCCTTTCTTTTTGGGGAAAGCACTGAGGCCAGGCCTAGAGCCCCACTCCAACTGCATGGTTTCCGTGGCCTCTTACCTAAAGATCGTCAGAGTCCGTATCCAAAAGGGGAGTCTTAGGGTGCCTGGTCCCAGAGGTGATGGGAAGATTAGCCTTCCTTCATCCCACATAACACCCTTCAGGTGCAGGGCCTTCAAAAGCTAACCGGTTAAATCTTGGGTTCAGGAGCCCTAGTCCCGAAGACTTTCCAGGTGGCCAGTGGGGACGGCTGCCTCAGGAGGCCTCTAGAAAGTCCTGCACATTGAGGGAAGAGGGAAGGCACACGCTGAGGGGTGTGGAAAGTAAGACTTTGGTTTACTGGGGAAATGGGCTCTTCCACCCCTGACCCCAAACCTAAGAGTCTGTGAAGAGGTGGGCAGTCTTGTGGCTTTTCCCACACGCACTGATTATTCTCCTTTAAATACTGTGCGCAGGAACTGACCGAAAGCGCGGCCGCCAGACCTACACGCGCTACCAGACCCTGGAGCTGGAGAAGGAGTTTCACTACAATCGCTACCTGACACGGCGGCGGCGCATCGAGATCGCGCACGCGCTCTGCCTGACCGAGCGCCAGATCAAGATCTGGTTCCAGAACCGGCGCATGAAATGGAAAAAGGAGAACAAGACCGCGGGCCCTGGGGCCACCGGCCAGGACAAGGCCGAGGTGGAGGAGGAGGAGGAAGAGTGAGAGCCAGAGAAAGGGCAGAGAGCCAGAAAGGGAGAGAGAGGGCTGAAGCCCAGCTCTGAGAACTGAACCAGGAAACTCAACTTAAATAGGGAGGGGGAAAACTATTTAAATAGTGAAAAGCAGTTTAAAAATTTTTAAGGAGAGACGGTGGAATTTTGATTTCTTAACACTGAAAAACAAAAACAAAAAAACAAAAACAAAAAAACACACCATACTACCTATAGAAAAGCCCGGTGGGTTTGTTTTGTATGCTATGGGAGGAACATCACCTACCTACCTGTTCTCTAGATTTTCTGCCTCCCCTTTTCTATGTCGTTATTGTAAGGTCTTTGTAAAATCTCGCTGTTTTGTAAGCCTCTTTCTTTGATGCTGTCTTTGTGCTCTGTGGGTCTGGACTAAGGTGTGTGGTTCCCTGTCCTCCTGAGCCCCCCCCCCTTACCAGTAGCAGCACGGAAGGGGCCTTAGGGAGCCCCATGGACCCACCGGACTAGCTCAAGTGTCCCCTCTGTGCCCCTGGCCTACCCATGCTCCTTGCTTCCGCCAGCCCCTGTGATCCCCTTTACATTGTATGTGTACCTGAAGGATGGAGAAATAAAAAACACAATTTAAAAATGAACAGACCTATTTTCTGTGTTTCCCTAAAGCTGGGGCGGGGGCTCTGGGTGAGCCAAGCATCCCAGAGCCCCTTGGCTCCAACTTCTGCTGCTAGTCATTTCGTTCTGTGCTGGGGTCTGCCCTTTTCCCCAGTGCTCCTGGCTCTGGGGGCTGCCCAGAGTGAACCCCCATAGGACACACATAACCTCCCTTTACATTCTTTTACACATACTGACATACACAAATGCACAAATCACACCTATTTGCAGGCTGACATCACACATAAGTAAATCTATACATTGTCACCTACAGTCACCAACAAACACCTCATATTCATATGTCCATAAATAAACATACAGGCATTCATTCACCCATCCCAGCTGTACACTGGAATGCATGCATTCATGTTCACACACACTCACAAGTAAACACACATTCACACTCACTCAGAGACATTTATACATACCAGTGTACATTCACACATCGGCTTATAAACACAGATTCACATTTGCCCCCAAGTAAACACATCCCTGAGCCCATAGGCTCAGTAACACACCCATTCACAAAACAAAACCCACACCGTTTGCAAACTCTGCTTTATCCAGGCCTTCAAACCAGGCTGCGGCTTGGTGGTGCGGCTGGGGCACAAAACGCAGCTGAAATCCACAGTGTTAGGCCCACAGGAAGGAAGAGAGGAAGGAAAGGGAAGGTGAGCACCCAGATCCACTCCCGCTTCTTGGGCGGCTTTGGGCAGAAGCCAGGCCGGCGAGCAGGCGATCCCCAGCCGGTCCAAATAGGCCTCCAACCCGAGGGCGCTCCCGGCTTCCGCTTTCTCGGCAAGCATTTTCCGCAAGACCTACTCGGTTATTTTATTTCAACTTATTTTACTTCCATTTATCTCATTCTAAATTAACACAGTAATCCAAATAAAATTTTTGAATTGTGGGGGAGGGGTGGATGATCCCTGAGAACGGGATCCTGAGCGGGGCAAGGTTACCCGGCTAGTGTGGCCGCATCCCCGGCCGTTCTGATCCCGGCCGCGCCCGGCGCCAAGCTCCGCCGGCTTCCTCCGCGCCTTGCTGCCCGCGGTCCGCGTTGCCGGCGACCTGGAATCTTCTCCAGAGTGCAGAGAAAGAGAGAAAAGACAGAAAACATTTTTTGGGGGATGTTATTTCGTTTCCTGCATTTGGGCGCTGGTAGCTCAATTCAAAAATACAGGAATATTTCAGGGGACCTGGGAAACACGGGGTGAATTTTGTTTGGGGGTGGTGGTGGTTTGTTTTGTTTTGTTTTGTTTTGTTTTGTTTTGTTTTGTTTTCCTCCAAAACACCCCTTGATTGAGGAACATAAACCTGGAGGACAGCACCTACGCATCTAGACCTGTGGAGCTGATGTTTAGAATTTATTTGATTATAAACTTTGGATTATTTAAATGCAAAGAACAGGTTTGGGGACAGAAAGGGGGAAGCAGGTTGGAATGGAACCAGGTTTTAGAAGAATCTCTTTAATTTGAATTTGTAAGTAAAAGTCCCCTGAACCTGCAGTTTCCCCCATTAATGACCGCAGAACCCCCAGGAGAGCATATGGAGCTGTCACTAGGAACCTGGGTATGTGGGCATTTGGGCAGGAGAAGCAGGGATCCAGCCTCACCCTCTTACAATTTCTGGGGGGCAGAGGCAAGAACCTTGGCCTCTCTCAGGGCCGCCTTTCTTCCCCCGGCAAAAAACAGGCCCTAGGGGATCTAGGGTCCCCACACCCACAATGCTACAAGCCTCACAGGTGGGGGTCCCGCCATCTAGAGGACTGAGAATGAGGGGGGCACTCAGAGAGGGAGAGGGGGCACTGAAGCCTTCATTTTGCTCTGATGCAAGTAACAATTTTGGATACCCGCCATTACTCCCAACTCACCCCAAAACTGTATTAAAATAGCCCCTGTGTGGAGGATTTGGGGTGAATTCTTACTAGAAGAGGGGTGGCAGAGCTCCTGCAAGAATAGGGAGGTTCTGGAAAGAATCCCCTTCCCAGATGGACCCTTGTGGCTCCTCCGCCTGATTCCCTGCACCCCAAATCTCACCCTTTCTCAGACAGGGGTTTCCCCAAATAGCGAGAAGGAGAAGAAAAGAAGATGGCGACTGAGAAAAGGGTTGCTGGTGGAGCAGCCATGAAGAAATGCAATAAATTCCTTGTTGTTTTATGAAAATTTACAACTTTGTGATAGAAGTTTATGAGTGGTTGAATCCAGCGATTGGCCGGCGCCGGTCATGTGGCCGGGCGATCGTGAACATGAACTTTTTATCATTTCCCTGGTGGTTATAATGCAGCATTCTTTTGGACACCACACCTAGGTCGGAGCACTGTCGTCCTTCAGGGCTCCAGCCTCTTGATATTTTTATACTTCAGTATCAGCTCGATAAAGCAAAAAAGAGAGAGGGAGAGGGAAGGAGAGGGAGAGGGAGAGAGAGAGAGAGAAGGAGGAGTGGGAATTACACAAAAGAGAGAACCAAAAATAATTTTTAATTTCTAAGTTGATTTGCTTGCTGAGCTGGGATTTTAGTCATCATGGAGGGTAAATGGACAATCTGCCCAGGACTGCAGGCTGATACCATTTTTCAAAGCCAGAACTTACTCCATTTTCTATGCAAATATCAGAAAAGCGAAACACCCTCTCTCCCAAGTCAGAGAAGGGGAAGCGACGGCTCTCAGGTTGGGACAATATTATCTGGAAGATGAAGAAGAAACAGAACGCTTTCCGCCCCCCTTCCTCCTCACCTCTTTCAATCGGAGGGAAGAAATCCCAAGGTCTACAAAGGTAAGAGAGATTCTACAATTCTCTTCTTATTCTTTTGCACCGATTTTGTAGGGGGTGGGGCTTAGGTTTGTCTCCCTCTTACCCCCACCCCAAGACGGGGCTGAACCCCACCTCTGGGCGCTGCAGGGAGAGGCTTCCCAGGAAATTCGGTGGCCGAGAGAGAGGGGGTGGCTGCTTCCTGGAGGGGGAGCCAAGGCAGGGAAGATGGGAGGAGGAACTGAAAGGGGCCACGGAGGCGAGCTCTGAGACGCCTTTTTAAGCTGGGAGAGGAGGCTCAAGTGAGGGGGTTCGAAAGAGAGGATGGGGTGTCTGGGCTGCAGGGCGCCTCAGAAGCCGGTTACTACGACCTCTGTGGGTGTGCGCCCCCTCCCCCTCCCACTCTCCCTCCCTTGTTCCGGCCTCCCCCAGTTGCCCCCCGCGCAGTTCTCTTGCCCAGCGTGGGTATCGGCGGTTTCCCGGCGGCATTGGCACAAGGGGCGGTGGCGCTGAGGGACGTCCTGGTCGCTGGAGGGCCTGGAGTCTCCGCGGAGGCCCGAGAGGGCGAGGAGGCAGCGGCTAGAGGGACAAGAGAGAGAACAATTCACAGAGAAATGCTCATTATCTCCCTTCGGAGACGTTTCTGAAATTAAAGGGCCGTGGGTGGAGGCACCCAAATGGAGGGAGACCCCCCTCCCCCCAGGAAGCCAGCCGAAGAATGCCCAGGTCTCTCGCCACTCCCGCAGGAGGGAGCCTTGCTCTGCAGGGAGACAGTTTTGTGGTTTTTTAATGCGGTAGGTTACAGCGTGTTGGTTTCTGTGCAATATTGATTCTATTACTTGTGTTTTATTGGTATGGGCGTGTGGATTTCGGTGGAGAAAATTGCCATGTGTGTGTCTGGAGTGGGAACATTTCAAACTTTCCTGGAACCAAACGTGTTGATTGTGGAGAAGCTGTTGAGCGTGTTGTGGTGTTTTAAGCTTGTAAACAAACAAACAAACAAACAAAACAAAACAAAAAAACAAAAGAGAGAGAGAGAGAGAGAGATGGGGGAGAGAAGAAAATAGAAGGAGAACCCAGTTAGGGAACCTGATGGTGTCCGGACCGGAGAGCTGTCTGGCTCTGAGCTGGGACAGCTAGCTCGTCCTGTCCCTCGGGCGCCTGATTTCATTCTCCAGCCAGGCCTCCTGGAGGTGAGGAGGGGGGAGAAGAACTGCTGGGCGGGAGACTGAAATTCCTAAAGTAGCTGGTGGGGTGGAAGGAGAAAGAACCTAAAAACCGAGAGAGAGGGGCCTTCTGGGGAAGCTGCCAGCGGAGAGATAAGCGGCTTTGGGCATGGAAGGCGGGAGAGAATGTGATTCACTTTGGTTTGCACAAATAGGTGATTGCTTTTCTCTTTTTGAAGACCAAAGGCAGACCGTTCAGCCTCGGGCCTCCGGTTGCCCAGGGATTGCAGGGGATGGGGGTGGGTAAGGGGAATATTGGCGCTCTCAAGCCTGGGCTGGGAAGAGAGGGGTGCAGGCCACTTGTGGCGCGGAAAGGGGGCCCTTGGAGGCGCAGGTAGATACCCAGGAAGCAGGCCCAGGCTGGGTGCCTGCGGGGACCCCTAGGCTGAGCTGCGAGAGAAGTTCTCGGCCAGCACCCACGGCACTCGGGGCCTATTTTCAAAGGAAAAATTCCCCAAACCCATCCAGACTAAAGGTCTTTTTCTCCTGTAGTCTTGGCGGGGTATAAATCATCCCTTAGACAGTTTGCTCTGACCCAAATTATGCGGTTTGCTGCCATCTACCGTCCGTTCGGAGACATGCGGCTTCGGCGCCGCGAGTCCGGCGACACCTCCTGAACCGTGCCCGACGCCTGGAGCCCCCGCTGCTCAGGTTCGGCGGGTTTCGGGGGGCCCAGATTGTCGCTTTCCGCTGGATCTTGGTACCCGCCCGTCCGCGTGTGGATTAGGGAACAAGTGTGCCCTCGCCCGCCCCATCCCAGGTCCAAACCCAGCAGCTGGCTGGGAAAGCAGCTGTTTCTAGGTCATATTTAAAAAGGACTGATA